CTGCTATGGCAAAATGAAGCGCGACTCTGCCTATTCCAACTTCTCTGGGGATGGCTGCAACATCTTGTTAGCCGCCCATTTAGCCCAGCTGTGGCCTTCTCGTTTCACGAAGCATGCCGCCAGTCAAATGTGTGTGGCACACATTCCGCGAGATATTAATGCGGCTTGATTTTCTCAGGTTGATGCCACCTGACTAATTTTGATAACTGGACGCGTGAGGCCCACACAACGCTTCACGGGGTACTAGTCAACCTGGGGCGTGCAACTTAGAATTGCTCGTGCAATCTGCAACCAGGGCCGCTGCATTACTACCGAGCTTGTCCATCAGCGTAAGGTGGCAAGAGTTCGGCAGTTTGCGTTATGATCGGCGAAGCTCGGCCTCACGGTATGTCAGTCGGGGTGATGTTAGGGCCGGGAGCCTAATTACGAACCCGCTCTTTCCAGACAATTTTGCCGCAGTTGGTAGAAGGAGGAACACGAGGAGTAAGAAGAGGGGCGGCGGCGGCGGTGGCGACGGTGACGACGGCGACGGTGGCGAGGACAACGGCAGCTGCATCGGCATCGGCGGCGGTGGCGGCGGAATGGTCGAGGGCGGCGGCGACGGCGGCGGCGGTGGCCGCAGCTGTGTCGGCGACGGCGGCGGCGATGGCCGATTCCAGGCCGTTTGCCCACCATCCCGTCTCCGCCCCCACTTTGCGAGAGGCGGTGCTGGCGGAGGAGCCGTGAGGCTCGGGGTTGCGCAGGCGGGACTGTGGACTGGCCTCCATTGTAGGGGGAGAGGTCAAGGGGTAGAGAAGGAAAACAGAGGGGGGTGCCCATTCGAGGTGAGCTTGGAGGAGGAGGAGGAGGAGGAGAGGAGGAGAGGAGGAGGAGGAGAAGGAGGGGGAGGAGGGGGGAGGAGGGGGGGGAGGAGGGGGACGAGGGGGACGAGGGGGAGGAGGAGGAGGAGGGGGAGGAGGAGGAGGAGGAGGAGGAGGAGGACGCTTTGGGCTCTTTCCCCCCGGCGGGGGCCGCCGACAGCCCACCCCCCCAAACAGAAGCGCAGACAACATCACAGAGCTTCTGGGTCCGGCGTTCCATTGGCCTCCTGCGGCCGAGCCAGCGCCCGAGCTTCCAGCTCTCGGACGCTTAGCGTTGCTCGTGGCGCCAACGTCGCAGACCCCCCTGGGCCAGTCCCCCCCCCTCTTTCTCGAGGACGCGAAGGCATGGATCGAGGCGCGTGGATTAGCGACGGGTCCAGCTCTCGGACGCTCAGCTCTTCTTCTCATGGCGCCAACATCGCAGAGCGGATCTCGCTTAAGTCTGGCATGTCCCTGTACAGGGGCAATATTTGAGATTGTCAAAATAGTTTTGGGACGATTGTTCTACTATTGTTGAGTCTGTTTTGAACATGGTTTGACGATTCTTATTTTTTCGTCCAAAAGTCGCGTGTAGGAGGACAGGCCCGACCTAAGATTTCGCTCGGAAAACACTGGGATGGGCCCAGATTGTCCTGGAGAAGTTCGCTCTGGATTTCGAAGCGAATTTCGTGCGGATTTCTGTTGGCCAGGAATGGAGACTACAGACAATCCACATGAAATTCGCTTCGTTTTTCGCTCGCCGTTTCGGGATTCTGCGATGCAGAAATCCACGCAAAAGTCCGCTGCAGCACGTCTGCAAGGCCGGTGCAGTGACTCTTCCGCCTCCTCGCAGGAACCGAGCCCTGAGGCAGAACGCACCCCGCAGCCAGCTCCAGTCTGCTTGGGTCCGCCTGCTTGATGAAATTACGCGCGCTCTCGGACTCGCTTATACAGTGGACCACCTCTGTGCCACTCCAAAGTGGCTGGACCAACTCACTTGTCTGGCCTCGGAGGGCGCACAACCTGTGCCAACAAATAGACCTGCGTCCGTGGTGCTCGCCCTTCTGGAGCCTCTTTCGTGACGCGAGCGCGGCCCCGCCAGACAACTTCCGAGGCCCTTTGCACAATCCCTTGGGTTCGGCAAAATCGCAAAACTGCCAGCACGAGGTGGAGGACACGACCTGGTCCCGTTCGGGGAGTTGAGCCGCCAACGTGACAACATCAGTGACCTTCCACGGGGTGTGGCTGAGAAGGCCTCTGGCCATGACTGCCTTCCCCAGATCCTCCGCCGACGCCCCCGAGGAAGCAGCAGCAGCATCAGCAGGAGGAGGCTCAACCACAGGGCAATGATGCTGGTGCTCGGCTGGGCCCCGGGTCTCAAAGATTTCACCTGGCCAGTCCACCAAATCTACCTTCCCTCAAACACCTAACGGCTCGTGATCCCCTTTGTCTGTCCCTACCGTCATTGCAGTACCCTGGCCGCCAAACTCAGCCACCTGTCCAGCCGCAGCCCTGAATCCTTCCAAAACGTGGGCGCCCGCATCACACGCTCGTGTCTGCAGCGCCCCCTTCTTTGTACAGTCGTCTGCCCTGGAGTCGTCTAGGCGATGCAACTCAGAGATCTTACCAGCTTGCTCATCTTCCAGGGTCGAGTGACCATTGACATGGATGAATGGCCGCTGCTCGAAGTCTCCAGGCGAGTGAGCTCGGCAACACTGCGGCGACAGCACAGCCGGCCTTCAGCTAGCTCGAATCCAACACCAGGAGCCTCGCACGGACTCCTGGGAAACGACCCCGCCTCCCAGCCCCATTCTTTACTTGCTGGCACAAGTGAAGGCTCCTTGGCAATTTCTCCCCCCCTGTAGTAAAGTCTCCAGCTTAAGGGGAAAGGCCTTAGGCACCACTCTTTGCCAAAACTTAGCTTGCTCACGAATGCCTTAGATGATGAGCCTCACCGTAGCGTGAGGCCCTTGCGGGTTCTTGACAAGCGCTTCAATCTGGCGCACAAATGGAACTAAGCAGCGACTAACCGCAGATCAGTCTAGCTGTCTCCCAGTGCAGGAGCTTCTGCAAAAGGGATCTGCAGGCTGAGCTCCGCTATGCCAGTGCGCTGCTTGCAAGTCTGATGGCTCCAGGCTCCAATCTCCCGCAATTATCACGGCAAGCTGGGCAACCAAGAGTATGTCTTGCAGTTCTTCTAACAGCGCTTGATTGTTGGGATCCATGCCTTCTGACGTGACACGGTATACCGAGATGAACAACATACGCACCTTCTTATCTACCGTGACTTGGTGTGTGAGGATTCTGTGAGTCTGGGTGGTGTGAGGCAGGTTCCAAGCCGCTAAGCCGTATTACTTCGAGACCAGAGCAGCCCCTCCTCAGACGCGTGCAATGCCCCGGCTTCAGTGATCCACGCAACTCAAGTAGACATGACAAACATGTGGTGCTCTTGGGCAGTTGCTCGCCGGCTGTGACGAGGTGATCGACAGCCTCGTTTCCGGTAGCAAGGCCACGTCGGGCGTGAAGCTTGTCCCTAATACAGCCACTCTAAGAAAGACTGCCCCGTTTACCGTGCATTACGGTTGTAAGTGACAATCTCGAACGTACAGTCGGGGTCTTGAAGAAGGACATTTGTTCGTTTTGGAGGGGCTCAGTCTTCCTAGGTTGCTTTGATGTTTGCCTTAGGTTTACCTTCGGCTTCCGATCGGGAATCGAAGTTAAATCTAAGGAAAAGGGACCTCGTTCCTTCTTTAACGTTCCTTAGGTCAACGCCCCGACTGTACGATCTCTACCTGGCGGCGTTCCTGTCGGCGCCAGCCCGCGAGCGTTCGAGGCACGTCCTGGCATCGGCTTGGCGGGCCCAAGACTTCCGAGCCCCAAGGGCGAGCCGAAGCCACCCCTCCCCAGGGTGAAGTCGGGCCTGTGCCTCCACAGGAGGAGTATCCGAAACTAGTCAAAAATAGTACGAGGACGATCTGTTGAGTAGTTTTGAACATGTTGGGGGTATTTCTGACTATTTTTGTTTGTCTGTCGTCCAAGATGCGCCTGCAGGGGTACATGCCCGACCTAAGCCTAGGGATGTTCGCGAGCACCACACCTGCCGACTGGCGACTACAGAGGCAGATCCGAGGTTGCCCCCAAGGGCTCCCTCGAGGGCGCGAAGTTATTCGCGCTTCGCGCTTCGCGGTCCTCGTTCCTTCTCCCCCTCCTCCTCGTCCTCCTATTCTCCCTTTGGGAGGGCGGCGCGAGAGCGCGAAGTTATTCGCGCTTCGCGCTTCGCGCAGCGCGAAGCGCGAAGTTGGGAGCCCTAGAGAAGACGGTCCCGACGATTCTCTCGACGTGGCGTCCCCTGCAACCCCTGGGTTCCCTTCTCCTCCACCTGCAGCTGCAGCCGCTGGCTCCGGAGCGGGTTCGCCCGCATCACGTGGTAACAGATCTCCCGGAAGACACCGATGTCCAGAAACCAATCCAGCATCTGGGGCATATCCGAGGGTGCCCCCAGCTCCTGAACCAGAAGACGATGTAGAAGGACTGCTCCTTGAGGCGCCCCATGCTTCCCCGCCGACTCCGTAACGCGTGCGCTGGGAAAGTGAGTGCAACGCTTCTCTTGGTCGGGCTCTGGGGGCCCGCGGCGGCTGGCTGCGATGGCCGCCGTCCTCCTCCTCCTCCTCCTTGAATTCGGTGCACCGCGCGTTCGCGGGCACGCGCGGGGAAGCGCTGTCGCCTCGTTCGTCGCTTCGTCGTGAACAAAAAAGAACTTCTCTTTTTCACCACCGGTCGCACGGTGCTCCAGGCTCACTTCCGAGCGGGCTCCCGTGTCGGTCGCTGGCTTCGTAGAAGGCTCACCGGCATCGTGTGGCAGGTTTTCATGGCGCCCACATCGCAGAGCGGATTTCGTTCGGAAAACGATCGGATGGGCCCAGAGTGTCTTGGAGAGTTTCGTTCCGGATTTCGAGGTGAATTTCGTGTGGTTTGTGGGGGGCCAGGAATGAAGACAACAAAAGTCCACGCGACATTCACGTCGTTTTTCACCCGCTGGTTCGGCGTACTGCATTGCCAGAAATCCACGCAAAAATCCGCTGCAGCACGTCTGAAAGGTCAGTGCAGTGAAACGTATCTACGAAAAGACGTGGTCTACCAGGAACCCACCCAGCTCCTGCCTTGGAAATGTCGTTGTGTCTGGAGCTTCCCAAGAGCGATCCCAAAAAACCAGTCAGCTTCACGCCACCTGCAACCCTCGAGCTCGGAGCTCCAGCTTCATCATGTGGAGCAGACTCGAGGCTGTCCCGAACTCCTGACCCAGAAGACGAGTCAGAAGGCCTGCTCATTGTGGCGTCCCCTGCTTTCCCTCCCGCCGATTCTGCTACGCGGGCGCCGGGCGTCGCAGTCTCGGCCTTCTCGGAGGAGAGGAGTGCAGCGCCAGGGCTCCCCTCTCCTGCCCCAGCAGCCGCAGGGTGGCCCCAGGCTGCGGGCTCCCAGTGCGGTTTCTGGGTTCGGGCGGCTCGCCCGCAACACGTGGCAGCCGATGCTCCGAAGGGAAACTGCGCACGGGCCCCGCCCAGCTCTGGCTCGGGCCTCTGGGGTCTGCAGTCAGCTGCACACCACCTGCTGCTCAACGTCTCACGGTAGAATCCAGAACCGATGACGCGGTCAGCCGCACGCCATTTGCAATCCCCACGCCAGCCTCCTACATCCATGTGTGGCAAATTGAAATCTACGTTCCTGGGAACCAGACGCGCCCCCGTATACAAGATCACGGGCCATCCCAGGCTTTGGCAGCACCTTCGGGGGGCCCTGGCTGTGACGAAAACCTCTTGTTGGCCGCTGCACGCTCACGAATGCCAGCAGCAGCAGCAGTCTCAGGCTCTTCACCATCCAACTCAACCTCTGCTGTCACTTCCTCATCCTCCTCCTCCTCCTCCTCCTCCCCCTGCTCCCTCCTCCTCCTCCTCCTCGTCCTCCTCCTCCTCCTCCTCCTCCGCCTCCTCCTCCTCCTCCTCCTCCTCCTCCTCCTCCTCCTCCTCCTCTCCCTCCGTCCCGACGCGGGCCTGCCGCAGGGGGGGGGGAGTCCAGCGGACGGTCAGGGCGGCAGGGCCCTTCTCTCCTGCGGCGCCCGTGTCCTCCCCCCCCCCCCCTCCTGCCTCCTCCCTCCTCCCTCCTCCCTCTCCTCCTCCTCCTCCTCCTCCTCCTCCTCCCCTCCTCCTCCTCCCCCTCCTCCTCCTCCCCCTCCTCCTCCTCCTCCTCCTCCTCCTCCTCCTCCTGCACCTCCTCCTCCTTTTGCGAGGCCTTCGTGGCCAGTAGTGCTACCCTCCAGTCGGGCATGTCCCTCTGCAGGGGGACTGCCCGAGAAGAGTTGAAAGACAATCTGGGGACGATGTCTCGTGTTCGTTTGGCCATCGCTGACTCCTGTCTGATCATTTTCCGCTTTTTCCTTCCAAGGTCCGCCTTCAGGAGGACGCAGCGTCCTTCCAAAGGGGGGCCCTCCGCGTCCTCGGAGGCCCCGAGGCGGCGTGGCCCCTGGAAGGCGCCCGCCCAGGACGTTTTGAAACAAGGGCCACTCTTGGGGATCAGGACGTTTTGAAGTCGTTTTGGACTACAGTCAGCCTCGACAGTGAGGATGGGGCAACTGTACAAGGCTACCCTTGCATTCTTGCCCCATCGGTTTTCGGCATCTTTCGGCATCCTGCTGCGCTCCGCATGGAACACGTCAACATGGCGTTCCAAGGCCCCTGCATCCTCGCCGCGCATCCTCACTATCCTGGTCGAGTGCAAGGACCACTCTGGGATCAGGACGTTTTGAAGGAGTTTTGGAACAAGGACCACTTTGGGATCAGGCCCGCCTTGGCGCAGAAGCCAGCTGCAGCCGAGACGTTGTTTGAGATAAAGGACTGCTTCGGGATCGGGGGAGGGGCGCTGCTGCTCGGGCCGCTCCCCTCGGATCCAGGCCCGGGAGCCTCGTGGCCCAGGCGCGCCGGGGCCAGAGCAAGCTCGTCCGATCCCTCTCTGGCGGCTCCCTGTGGCAGCACGGCGACTCTTAGGTCGGGCAGGTCTTCCTACAGGGGGATCTTGGACGAATTAAAAGATGTAGTCAGAAAATAATCAACAATGGTCAAACAATGTCAAAACATGGTCCCCGGACTATTTTCAAACTATGTTGGAGTATTCCTGCCGTAGAGGGGCCGGCCCGACTTGACCCTAGTCTCATTGGAGCTCGCCCCAAGCCTTTCCCCCCCCTCAGTTCGTCGGCGCGGAGCTGCGCAGGAACTTTTTTCGAGCGGCCCGCGGCCGGCGAGGCGTGCAGCAAGCGTTTGGCCCGACCAGGCCGGGCTTGCGCCGAGCGCATCCTGGGCAGGAGGCGCAGGGAGTGGATCGACTACACGTAAGAGTGACCCTTCGCCGGAGTGACCTTTGGTGCGCGGCCATTGGGGCCCCCCGATCGTCGCGTGCGTTGCGACAGAAGCGTCTTGCTCGCTTGTGCTTGGTACCCCAGGGTCACTCTTGCGGCAATGTAGCCGAGTGAAGTGCTGAGGGCGGGGACGCGTTGAGAAAAGCGGTAGCATCGCGCCAGGGCCTCCCAGCTCGTGCGGGCGGCACGCCATGAATCTGTCCCAGCAGCCGCGGCAGTCGAGCAGGGCAGGCTTAGAAAAGAGGAGCGGTGCCGTTGTCCTCGGCTTTCCGTTTCTTTTTGCCCAGGTGCACCAGGTACAGTGGAGACCCATGCCAAGAAACACCCTGCTTGCCTCCAGGGTGCCCTGGGTTTCTTGGGTTTCGATGGTTTTGCTGTGGACAGCGCGACGTTCCCACACCAAAAATCAAGGGACGTCCTGGGGTCTTAGGGTTAGGTTTCTCGTGGAAGGTTTCTTGAGGACTGGCCTCCACTGTACGGTCAGCAGCGTTTGTGGCGCCGCCGGTTCTGGCGGGACCTGCGAAGCACGTCCCAGGCCTCAAGCAGCAACGTCCCAGGATTTCCCGACGCGGGTCAGGAACGTGTGTTTGGCGGGGAGGACGAGGAGGAGGAAAAGGAGGAGGAGGAGGAGGAGGAGGAGGAGGAGGAGGAGGAGGAGGAGGGGGAGGAGGGAGGAGGAGGGAGGAAGAGGAGGAGGAGGAGGAGGAGGAGGAGGAGAAGGAGGGAGGAGGAGGAGGAGGACGAGGAGGGAGGAGACGGAGGGAGGAGGATCAGGCGGAGGAGGGGGAGGAGGGGGAGGAAGAGGAGGAGGAGGAGGAGGAGAAAGAGGAGGAGGTGGAAGAGAGGGAGGGGGGGAGGAGGAGGGGGAGGAGGAGGAGGAGGCGGAGAAGGAGGAGGAGGAGGAGGAGGAAAAGGAGGAGGAGGAGGAGGAAGAGGAGGAGGTTCGCGTGCGTAGGGTGCCTGTGGCGGGGTAAATGGCTTAGCGGGCTGGTGGCAAGGGTGGAGGGAGAGCAGCACAGGCAGCAGCGGGAGCACGAGCATGAGGTCGGGCATGTCCTCCTATTGGGAGGACGACGAGCCTGGTTTGCGTCATCAAGGCACGCTCCAGAAGCTTCGTGCCCAGCCTCAGTGGCGCCCCGCTCTGGGCCACGACGGCACAGTGACGCACAGGCGGGACCGTGTGGCAGGCGAGCAGTCTGCGGCCCCACTCAACCTGGAGTCGATTCAGCGCTGCTTCAGCCCCCGCGGCTACGGTTTAGTCGGGCGTGTGTTTCTACAGGAGGAATATACAAACATAGTTTTAAAACATAGTCTGGGGACGATGTTCCAGCATTTTGGTCATTTAGAAAAACTACCTGACTCTTATTATTCGTCCAACATCCGCCTGTAGGGGGACACGCCCGACCTAAGGCTAGGGCCAGCAGTGGGGAAGCATGCAGGATAACCGACTCCACGCGCGAGGGGACTTGCGCGCCGCGGTCGCCGGGGCGGAGAAGCCGCCGCGCTCTGCCGCCCGCAGCTGATCTTCGAAGGGAGCCCTGCCCCTCGCAAGTGTCGCCTGGAGCAGCGGCTGGAAGGTGAGACCGGCGTCCATTCAGAGTAAGTCGGGCGTGTCCCTCTACAGGAAGAATATTCACAGATAGTCAACAATAGTCTGGGGACGATCTTCCTATCATGTTTTGATTATTGTTGAGCATTTGTGGAGTATGTTTTATTGTTCGTCCGAAATCCCCCTGCAGGGGGACACGCCCGAGCTAACACTAAGACGCCTAGAAGGCGCTTCGCGAGCACAGCTGGGGCCCGGGCCGATAGTGGCGGGGGGGGTCCAAGAAGGGGAAGGACAGCCGCGCGTCTGACCGTCTGCCCCCCGTCCTCCTGGACGCCCATGGGATCTTCGATCCTCGATCCTCCTGCCTCTCTGGAGGCCTTCCAGGTAGAGTCCGAGCAGATGGGGTCGGAGGACTGCGCCGCGTCGCCGATGCGTCGCCGCCGTCGGCGTGGAGAAACTTGGGCTTCCCATCGAGCCGCATCGCCGATGCGGCGGGACCCCCCGACCCCATCTAGGGACCCCATCTAGAAGGCCTCGCAATAATGGGTGCGACGAGCGACAGCAGATGCCTTTCATTTCGAACAGGCGTCGCTGTCGGCGTCGCCGCGAACGTTGCCCCCTTGAGACAGAAGCCGCCGGGCCAACAGCGGCCGCTATCGGCTCTGGACATCACGTGTTACTTAGCATCGTTCCCATTTGTTCGGCGCCCCTCTCCCCCCCCCTGACCTGCTCGCGTCGTGGCAACAACAACAACGACAACAACAACAACAACAAAAACAAAAACACGGCAGGAGGGTCTGGGCAGCTTTGCGCCTCTGAAGGGCTCTCGCCGGCCCCCGGGGGGGCCGTCCAAGAAAGCGGTCCTGGGGATTGAAAGGCGGTCCTGGGGAGATGGGTCAAGGGCAACGACAGGGGGGGAAATGCATAGGGGGGGTACATCGACCCCCAATCGCCCACTGATCGCCGATAGGGTCCCGATTGCCCCCGTCTGCCCAGGAAGGTCCAGATTCACGATTGTCGGCCTATCGCCGATCTATCGGTTCCAGGTCTCCAGGTCGATGTATCCCCCTATGCCAGTCCCCCCCTATCGCTGCCCCTCAGTGGGGGCCCCCGGAAGTCCCGCGTCGAAGCAACAGTCTCAGTCAGGACGTCGCAGGTGGGACCGTAGACGCCCTGACGGTGTGTTAGCCATCGGCGAAGTAGGGAAACCAGTTGTAGGAAGGCGTGGTTCGTGGCCGAACCAATTGTAGGGACGCGTGCTTCGCGTGTTCCTACAATTCGCTGTGTCGTTTTCGTTCGATACACCCGCAAGTTTGAAATGTAGGAAACGGTGTGTCGTGATGTCCTTCATGTTGTTTTGCGTGAGCTCGGTGTCTCAAAAACAAGTTTCCCAGTCGCACCGTTAACCAAGCACGCCGTCAGCGCGGCGTTGGTGTGGGTCGCCATCGCAAAAGCGCTCGCAGGCTTGAGGCGCGAGCGGGGGCAGCACGCCCCGGGACGGGATGCCTCTTGCGCGCCAGGTCTTCGAGGCGAAGAGTTTTACAACCACCGCTGGGATGATCGATTTGGAGGATTTCTCCGAAGGGCTTAGGCGACCCGTCCTCCTCCTCCTGCTCCTCCTGCTCCTTCCCTCCTCCTCCTCCTCCTCTTCCTCCTCCTCCGCCTCCTCCTCCTGCTCCTCCTCCTCCTCCTCGTCCTCCTCCGCCTCCTCCTCCTCCTCCTTTTCGGGTCGCCTACGGCCCCGGGGGAAACCGTGCACGCGCACTGTACCTCCATGGGCGGTGGATATGGATGCGGTTTGGACCCCGGGGGTCCAAATATATCCCCACCGCCGGTTGGGTCCCCAGGACGTCGGATCCCAGGCGGTGGATATGGAGAAATCCCCACCTCGCCAGACCCAGCAAGCATCTGCACTCAACCTAGGCATTGCGGAGGTTGCCTCCGTCGTCCGCGCCGCCGCTGTCCTCGCCGTCGTCTCCTCAGCCCGAGCGCCCGCTGCCCCCCCCCCCTCGTCGGGACACCGAGCGCACCGCCGCGTCCACCCGCCATGACGCGCGGCAACCAGCGCGACCGCGACCGCGAGCGGGCCGCCAACCGAGCCGCCTCAGGCCCGGGCTGCGACTTGAGATTCAGTCATCTCTGCGCCGTGAAAACATCGCGACGTTCGGTTCGAAACAGTGTTCGGCCCTCGGGGGTTTCGGCCAGGTCCGAGGCCGTCAAAGAATTTGCAGTCAACCCGCACAGTAAGGATGGGCAGTTTTCCTAAGGATACCCTTGCATCCTTGCCTCCTCGGCCCGTCATTGGCCACTTTCGTTGGCCGCGCCCCGCTCGAAAAGCTACGAAATGGGCGTCCAAGGCCTTTGCATCCTGATCGCGCATCCTTACTATACTGGTCGACTGTACCCCGGATAAAAATATGTACCCAGAAAGGGATCCAGACTTTTGGGAAGTTACGCTGTGCAACAAGAACACGACGTCGGATTTTCTGGGTCAGCATATCTTTGTGTATCGTCTTGCCTTGTCCCGCCGAATTCGGCGCAATCCCGCCAAGTCTGGCCTCTAGCTGCAATTAGGTTTAATTGATACAGTTGCCCATAATCGGGCTCAATGGCCCTTCATCGTTCCCAAGAAGACCCCTCGGGCGGCGCGAGCACTGGGACAAACCGTTCCAGAGTGTCTGGAACGCTCTCAGAGCGTTCCGGAACAGCCGCGGCGCACGATGCATTCTCCATCATCCAGAACCTCCTGATCTCAGAGATATCCGATTTCTCCTGGTCCTATGTTGTTGTCTTGGTCCCGGCTTCGTCCTACCTACTTGGCGGTGTTGTTGACGGCATGATTTTTCACGACGCCGGATTTCGGGGTGGCAGCCGCAGCTTTTGGCAGATGTCGGGCAGGCCCAGGACACGAGGGCCGCCACGAGGGCGCAAAGTTATTCGCGGTTAGCGATTGGCGATTCCTCCTTTTTCTCCTCCTCCTCATCTTCGTCCTCATCCTCATCGTCCTCTTCTCTCCCACGGGGGCGGCGCGCGCGCGAAGCTGTTCGCCCTGCGCGGGGCGCGCAGCGAGGAAGTGACACCTCTTGCGTTTGGCAGACGTCGAGCAGCCCAGGGTGAGGGCTCCCCGTTCCAGAGCATTCGGGAGCACGCTGGAATGGCCGCGTGGGCCTGGGACACCCTCCAGGCCTGGAGGGGTTCTCCGAAGGGCTTAGGCGATCCGTCCTCCTCCTCCTCCTGCTCCTCCTCCTCCTCCTCCTCCTCCTGCCCCTCCTCCTCCTCCTCTTCCCCTCCTCCTCCTGCTCCTCCTCCTCCTCCTCCTCCTCCGAGGACTGGTCCGCCCCAGTCCCTCGCCTGCCCCCTTCACTGGGAGAGCAGCCTCTCTCGCGGCGGCCATGGGAGGCGGCGGCAAGAAGGGCGGTGGCAGGAAAGGCCTCGGCGGTGGTCGCTCGGCTCCATCGGCAGGGGCCACGACGTACATCGCCTGCACGGCCTGCAGGTTCCGCTGGAACTTCAAGAACAACCACTGGTGTTACCAGTGCGGCGGCGCCCTGGTACCGAGCCCCTCGGAGGACAAGCGGCCTCGCGGCCAGTGGGTCTGGGGCCCGCCGCAGGCAGTCGCAGCGCCTCCTCCTGAGGCAGAGACTGCTGCCGACGCCCCTGCGGCCCCACCCTGGGCCCAGGCGGGAGGCAAGGGCGCCAAGGAACC